CTGGGGGATTGAACCGTGGTCCCTGTGTTTTGCTAACCTTGTTCTAAGTAGGTGCTTTAGACCACTGAGCCATCTCACCAGCCCCGTGAGATTCATTTGTAAAGAATCCAATTCATATGAAATTATGATCATACATTCTGAATCCAGACTGCCTATCTTTGAACCCCAGACCCTCTACTTACTAGCTGTGTTACCTTTGATAAGTTATTTCAGGCTCTCTGCACTCATTTATTTTTCTTTAAAATTGGGGCCATCGCAGTACGTTTATCATGACATTATTTTTCATGTTAAATGAAATGACGCATATAAAATATTTAAGGGATTGCTTGGAAAGCATAAGCATTGCTACCATTATTATTTTCTTAGGCTGCTTCAGGGGTTTAAATATAATGCCTCATTAATATTGCCTGGAGTGAGCTAGAATTTGAAGACAAATTTTGTGGGGAAGGGCCTTGGTCCTTAGGCTCAGCTACTTTCTTTGAGATGAATGCGTAGAGCCAGATATTTTTTTTGGAGGTGTGTGGATGAACCAGCACCATCCATAGTTTCCACAGTGGTTCTCTGGGGCTGTGGAAGAGGGCTTTGTACCCTATGAACAGAGCAGGGAACACTTAAGATTTTGTTGAGTTTGGGTTGTAATTTTAACCTTTGCAGATGTACCTACTTCTGCCTTTTACATACATAGCTCTTGCAAAGTCTCTGAAAAGTCTTTCTTGAGAAGATTTGAGAATATACTACTTGGCATAAGAAATTTTATCATACTTCTAATTTATGTGATTAATCACTATTAAAGGGATACCTTGTGCATATGGGCTAATGAGCTTCGTGGTGCACAAACGTTGCCACTGCAATTTCTTATTGTTGAATCTGGCATCACAAATAGGAGTTTTAATAGGCATGACCCATATAAAGAATTGGATCTGGCAGTCCATGGTGTGATATCTTTGGACATCTGTTCTAAGTTTGAATCATTGGCCTGACCACAAGCTGTGGTCTAGGATGTATCTCCACACGGCTGGCAGATACGTAAGCTTGGCTTCTTTCACTTTCCCCATCATATTCCCTTCTCCTTGTTTATATGGTGGGTTTTCCCAGTGTAACGGAGACCAGGGTCAGTAGTTCCCACCACGCTGCTCTGTTGTTCTTTAAACTATTACAATTATTTTCTCCTCACTGGTTCCTCACCCTGAGGTCTTAAAGCATTGAAAAATAAAATGTAGCTTCTTTTCACAAGAAAGGTGAGGACTTCTTGGGTCTTATGAAACTTATTTCTTTACTTTTGGTTAATCTACTGTTCACAGGGTTGGCTCTGACCGGTGAGGACGCTGACATGTCCAGTATAAACCCTTTGCTACTGCTGGGGAGGCATCATGTTTGCTGCTGCTCTTGGTAATCTTGAATCCTCAAAGCATAAGACTTAGGACTGCAGAGTTTTCTGGTTGTGAATATGGTCATGATTGTCTTATATAACCAGAGGTCTAAGGCTGAGGAGGCTAGTGTAAGAGCAGGAGCCCTGCTGACTCAGGCTTTGTTGGAGGGAATGCTTTGGGAAAGGACCATTAGCTGTGGCTTCCATCTTGGCGTGTGTCTGTCCTAGAAGGGATTGACTCCTGATCATCTCTGTCAACATTATGTCTATCTTTGATATATGACTCTCGGCAGCTCAGCTGGTGTCATTCTTGTGCAGGTACAAGACTCAGGACTGAGAGGACACCTCAATACCTATGGCCGGGAACCCTCACCACCTATTAAATCTTCTTTTCTTGGTTGTTGCGGTCACTGAGGATGATCTATATTTCAGATACAATTCGCATAGCCCTGAATTTCTAAATGATGCTGCTCAAATAAGCACACATGAACTTCTCATTAAGCTGCCTGGAAGAAACTAGGCCAGTTACACAGAAAACCATCTAGTTGAAATCTTCTATTTAAGAAATGAGGGAACTGCAGTCTAGAGAAGTGAAACGACTCAGTCTAGGATAGTGGCTTCTTAATGGCAGAGCTGGGAGAATATTTGTGGCTTCTTGAATTCCAGATTTTTCTCTGATACCACAGCGGGCAACCAAGCAAGCAACCAATTAATTAGCACTGGAGCCCTGACCTAGAGAGCCAGGATGCTTGAATGTGCCTCTCCTTCCTCCCCTCATAGTACAAGGTAAACAGAGAGCATCGCACCTGAGCAGCGTTTTTACTCAGCTCAGAGGCAATATCTGAGGCTGAGTTGCCTATTCCAATCACCAGGATGCGTTTCCCCTCAAATCCAGCTGGGTACTTATATTGACGGCTATGGAAATACTGGCCTTTGAACTTCTCAATACCTTCAAGGGAAAGAAGAGAAAAGTCTGTGAATGTCCATGTATATAACTTATGTCAAGCTACTTATAATAAACTTTTGAACTTTTTCTTTGTGGGGTCAGTAGTTTGTCCCATTTCTTTGCCTCCTACAGCAGTTACAACATCAGGGTCAATCAGAAGGCTCAAAGTAAAAATCCGTAAGAAATACTAGGTACCGTTCCTGTGGGGTAGCACCACAGAGAGGCTGTATTCAGAGATGGGCAGGCACACTTCCTGGACATGCCATTGGTTTTGATGAAAGATGCATGGTCAGATGCTGGTTCTGACTACCTAGTCTCTTATTTTGGACTATCTAGTGATACTACAGCATGACATAGAAGATACTCTTTTCATATTTCTTAAATACATTAAGTTTCCTCCCTGTAATTTTGCAATACATTATTCTGATGTTGTATTCTGATGTTGTAAATGCAAGTGAAAACCAAAATAAAAAACACAGAAGTTGCACATTCAGCATGCTAATAACTTATTGGTAGTTAATTGCAGAGAAGCCTCCTATGTCCTTTCAGACTTCCTTGGAATATACGGCTTCATGTAAGCATTTGCCTTTTAGGGTGGAGCTACTTGATGGAATCTGGGTCATTGGTTCTTAAAATGAGGTCCCTTGGAATATGTTAGAATTACAGATCCTTAGCTTCATGTCAGAGCTGCTGATTCATTTCTGGGTGGATCCCAGAAATTTGTACTTTAAAGTTTTCCTCATGATTCTGTTTGGGGATCATTCCTGTAGATAAGCGGGGCCCAGTGCTAAGTTCATTTTAAATCACTCATGCAGCTTTGATTTCCGTGGCTGCCCCCCACCGTGCTTGGATCCGTGTGGACTCTGTTCAGGCATGGGTTCTAGGAGCTCCACTGGTGATCTGACTTAACATCCAAATCTGCACCCTGAGAGTCCTGAGAAAGAACTGTGTTCTCCAAGGAGAGAGCTGAAGGAGCTTCCGGTCCGATGGCCACAAGGTTCTGTTCCTGCGCTCCTCCCCCATCACTGCACACGGACAGCATTTATTTGTAGGACCTCTGTCCAGGGAAGGGAAAGGCTTCAAGGACAAGACAAATATGAATGTGTTCAGTAGGACAGAAAAAAGCCAAGGCACATCAAGTTCAAGGCCAGCCTGAACTGTGAGGAAAGACCCTGACTCAAAAAACAAACAACATAAAGTCATTATAAAAGTAACAGGTGGGGGCCAGGGAGATGGCTCAGTAGGATAAGTGCTTGACTGGCAAACACAAGGATCTGAGTTCAATCCCCGGTTCTGCCAAAAAAAAAAAAAAAAAAGTAACAGGTGGCCTAGCTCAGCATCAGAAAGGAGAAGGCAGTCTTGATGACCACGGAAACACAGAGCCCATCTAGAGAAGCAGGGATTGAACTCAGGCCCTTGCACTTTCCAGCTTTCTTCGCCATTGGAGAAGCCCGGAGCAGCCCAGACCCATGCAGATGCGCAGCGCTCCACACCGCCACACACGCGGGATCTCAGTTGCAGACCGGAAACTGGAGTGAGTCACAGAGGCCACACCGCCAGCCTCAGCTGGACGCTTGTGGTATTTGAACCTGATGTGGACGGGTGCCTGCCCTGAACAGCCCTGAGCGGCAGTGCTGGGCTGAGCCCGCCGGCCACGTGATGCCCAACCTGAGCCAGGCCGGGCGCCTACCTCGGCTGTGCCCAGCTGCTGAGAAGACTGAGAGAGAATGGCTGCAAGTTTGAGGCCAGCCTGGACTTAGCAAACTTTCAAAATAAGCTTTAAAAAACAAAACAAAACAAAACAATAATAAGGGTGGGTGTGAGGATGTAACTCAGCTCTCCCTGCCTTTACTCTCCAATTCCTTTTTGGGGAAAAAGGGTAGGTTATAACTTGTTTACACACTAAGGTTACAACTGACTGCATGTGGAGAAACCCTTAGAATAAATTAAAAATATGTGCAGAAGCGGCATTAGGACAAACATTACATTACAAGCGTGAGGCCAGCCTGGGTTACATGAAAAGAGCCTGTGTCGAAAAAGTAAGGGAAAGAGAGAAGGAGGGAAAAAGGAAGAGAAGCCAAGCAGTGTACTTCCAACACATGGTGAGACTGGGGCAGGAGGACTGCAGTTTAGAGCACAGCCTGGCAAGCTACAGAACTATTGGGTTTTTTTTTTTTTGGACATCTTATAAACCTTTTTTTTGAGAGGTCTCAGGAAGTTGCTATATTGCCCAAGCTGAGTTCAAACAGGTGATCTTCCTGGTGTCTCCGCCTTCCAGAGTTAGCCACGGCTGCCAGCTGGTTTTGTTTAGTCTTATTTTTTGTTTTTCACATAAGAGCTCACTGTATTGCGCAGGCTGGTTTTAAGTTCAAGATCCTCCAGCCTCAGCCTCCAAAGTACTTGGCATCATAGAAGTGCTCAGCATACAGTATTTAATGAATAAAATATTGTGCTGGAGTTCATCTTATGGAGCCTGTGCTCTGGAGAAAGGGACAAGTGACTAACAAGCAGACTAATACATGAAAAAGTCACAGATTATGTGTTGGGAAGAACATTCTTTTAAAAACATACAAAATGAAGAAGGGCAATCTCTCTTTTGAAAGGCAACCGGAGAGGAACTCTCTAAGGAGGGGACATTGATGCTGAGGTCCAAATGTAAGAGCCAGCCAAGTTTAGAAAAACGTCTAACAGTGAAAGAACTAACTGGGTGGTTCAAGTCACCAGAGTGACCTTCAAAATTGTGATTGTATTAAGAGAAAGCCTTGAAGGATAGCCTGATTTCAACGGGATGATTTCAGATTAGATTGTCGAGTATTGTGGTGCTAATAAAAGAGGAATATAAAAAGAATGCAAAGCTTCTCAGATACAATAATCTTTAGATCCAGTATCGGGACGGTATTTGAATATCTAAGAGTTAGAGAAATGCAAAACTCAATCAGGAGATAAAAGCACAGACAGATGCTTCGGCACATCTGTGATCCCAGCTACTTGGGAGGCTGAGTCCAGAGGGTGGAAACTTCCAGAACAGAATGGCCATTTCAGCAAGTTTCTGTCTCAGAATTTTAAAAAAGGGTGAGTGTAATAGTTCACCACTCCCTGTATTCAATTCTCAGTACAGAAAAAAACAAAGATGGAGGGAAGCTAGGTATTTCAGATATCAGTTGATAGAAGAATTAAGAAGCTTATCTCTTGAATCTAGAGTTTAGGAATCCTTAAGCCATTCCATGACAAATAGGCTGAGTGTGTCCCAGAGTTTCCAAAAATGCATTCAGCCATACGCAGCCTTGATCACTGAGAAAAAGAAAAATTTGAGATATAAACATCTCTCAGCCATGGAAAAATTTTCAATTAAACAGAAAAATGGTTAAGAAAACCAAACCTGTAAACCAACATTTGTGCATTTATCAATGTGTTTTGTAATGTGAAAGAAAATTCGACGTATTGGAATAAAAGATCAACCTTGTAAATTTTAAATGTAGAAATAAAATGTATATTTTTCAATATATAAAGT